CGCATGGCCTTCTTCATCTTTTCCCACGAGGTGATCTTGGCCTTGCCCAGCCTATCGCGAGTCAGTTTCGTCTGGTGCCATCAAGCAGTAGCCCTTCCCCGTAGCCGAGTCGCCACCAGCTTCACCCGTTTTTCCTCAGGGACCTCCTTGAAGTCCGTGACCTCTTCCACTGTGGTCAGCCAGTCGAGAAACTCCTCCGGTTGCACACCACCTTGGAACTCAGGAATATCGACTCGCATCCCTGACTCCCATCGCCGCTAATCAACATCCTGTTGCGGCCTATGCGGGTCAACAACAAATCCTTCTTCACCCTCCGGGAACTCTCCACCATCCTCCTCGTCATCGCCGTGAAATTGGTCACGGGCGACAACGTTCTGCTGGTTCACAACCAACAGCTCCATCCTCTCTGCTAGTCGCTCAATTGTCTCCTCCATCCGTCCCATCCTCTGAACCATATCATCACGTTCATAGATTTCTTCCACACGACGACGATTCACCTGGCAACGGGGTGGCATGATGGAAACGGGGCTTTGATTTCCAACTGACGCAGCGCACCCTGGATAAAATCGAAAATCCGTTGATCCCGCAGGATACCGGAAGATCAATCGTCGTTAGCCTATTGATTCTGGGAATACTAGGTTAACGGCATCAAAGACGAACTCACACAAAAGGTCCGACTTTGGGAAAGAGAGCAACGCTCTATAATGTTATTCAAATCCAAAACTACTAATCCTCTTGTTTCGACGACATTTTATAGTACTTGTAAAGAAAACCTAACCAAACAAAAGCCCACAAAAAACCCCATAAACAAAACGTCAATCTGCATGGGCCGCCATGCATAGGTTGAGTTTGCTTCCCTGCCACGTCATTGTCGCTTCATTCGATCCCGGCGCTCAAGGAACAAATTTGCCACGTCCTCCATTGCATCAAAATCGCTCCCACGCCCAGAGCTGCAGTAAGGAGACCTAGCCACCAAGGTCACCTCCTGTGGAAGAGGCATGCATCATGTGTAGAACCGACCTACCCATCTCACGGTATAGGTAGGCTAAAACAGCTAATCCCCAAGCGAATCCTCCAGCTCTCTACCAATTCTCAAACAGGAGTATATGCTGTAGATGAACTGTAGATCCAGTCCAATCGGGAAACAATATACCCCCCACCAAAGATAGGGCATAAGCTCATGCAAACTACCCTATAATCTCTGATGATGCATTTGACGACAAATGATTGAATTGATCCCTGAGCCAACTAATCCTAACGGCACCGCCGAAAAGATCAATAGGAGCATGTCCTAACAGTCTCATACACGTCGCTGACCACTCCTCATCTGGTACGTCTACTATGATGGCCTCACCGTCGATCGGTAGACCGCGCAGTGTGGCAACGTCCTCTAGAGTGATCGTAACCTCACCAAGCGGCATGTGGAAGGTTGATGACTAAGGTCACCAACGCTCTACGAGAGCAGTTATCAAAGATGCATCAACAGCAGCAGTCATAGGGACCAACTGGTGAACGCTAAACATACCGGCCTCCTGGAGATACAGCTCATAATGTGGATGGTATGTGACCAAATGGGTCGTAACTCGAATTTGGTAAATGCGATCACCAGCCTATAGTGCACAAAACTTATATTAATTCTATTTCATGCGTAATTCTATTTTCAGTTCACCTAGTAAAATCTATCTAATCTAGTAAAATATATCTAATCAAAACTTATACTAATTTCAAAAAAATTCACATGCAATTCTAATTTCAGTTCACCTAGTAAAAATCTAAACATCTAATTTGGACAACCTTACTAATTGTAGTGTTCTGCACTTACAAGAGGTGAATAATACAATTGGTAATGTATTTTCGATAAGATCGACTTTGTCTCAAAGACAAGATTTAATCTCTTGTCATAGAGATTTCTAGCACCATCGATGTGCATTTGGTTGGCATTTTGGAGGTGCTCTTATGGTATGAAAGTAGTTAAAGGAAGTTAAATAAGTTTCATCGATCTATCATGTTATAGTTCGATTTTATTCTCTTTTACAAAACTATGAGAATAATTAAGCATGCTATGTCGAAGATTTGCTAATAACTTTTTCTTTTCTTTGTTGTGTCTTTTTGTGGCAACTCGATTCTGGTTAACCGGCATACTTCGTCGAAGGAAACTACACTCTCTGGCGGGACTATCTTGGAGATGTTGGGTTTTGTTTTTATTTTTTCCCGTTAGTGTCGTGTCTTTGCTCATCGGAGCTTCTTCAGAGTTGCCCAAGTAGTGGCTTAACGTGCTCGCTCATCGTAGTCTGGTTGCATACAGACTAACGCGCTGTATTTGAGTCGATTTTGTAATTGTGTCGAGCCTTTGTCCCATGCCCTCTGAGCTTGCCTTGGAAAAAAAATATATATATCTAACTAGCTAATGAACTTTAATGAAATACTTACCTTGTTTTGCCAAACTGAGTCGACACGATGTTGACCATGTGCCCAAAAAAGTACTGAATCGACTGGAGCTGGATCAATTGTCGTAGGTGGCCGCCTCGTGGAATACGTGTCCAGAAGTCTAGGAACTGCAAAAAAAAAAAAAAAAAAACTGAAACAGAAAAAACCACCGCCGGCGAGATTCCGGCGAACATCAGACCATCACCGGTGAGCTCACCTCGGTACCAGTCGCGTGCCTGTCGTCCTCATCCACGGCCTCTTCCTCCGGGGCTCTTCGTCGGAGTCATACATACAAATCAGATATGGTTTCTGGTTTAGCCGCTCCGCATGAGACTGGGAGGCTCCCTCACCTGGCAAAGCGGTCCCGCAGGAGAGTACGGCGGCCTCGCGTGAGACAGGACGAAAGGCGCAGGAGTTTGGGGAAGAGGGAGTTGGGTTCGCGGCGCGCCCGCTGGTGAGGGTTTGGAATGAGAGGTTTTTGGTGGTGTGTCTGATGCGGGAGGTTGAGGAAGAAAATAAAGAGATAAGAAAGGGCTTTTGCGAACTCGCGTGAGACTGGTGCGAGTCCGCACTGTGCCCGTGTGGATTCGCCTTTTTGAAGGCTCTATTTGAGTTTCGTGTGAACACGTAGTCTTTCCCCCAAAAAACACAATATCTGTGGCAACAAATTTAAAACCACCATATTTGTGGTAAATAAAAAAATGACAATATTTTGGAAATTTACCCGCGAGCCGGCGCATTAATATATTGTTTTTGTGATTGTTTTTGTTTCACAAGGTGCAAACAACTCTGGGTAAGCCAATGGAAAGTATGAATGTCAATGTAAGGAGCATGTTGCTGGTCTTTTTCAATGCCAGGTATAGTGTTATATGTCTATGTTTTCCTCTCTTTTCACTGCCTGGTATACTATTTGTGCAGACGTATTTTGAATTGGTCATTTAAAGATCTCAAATAATATTGGTGTGAGCTCTTGTGCTTTCAGGATCAAACTCAGGTAGGAACACACAACATTGTAATTAGGTTTTCCTCCGAAGAAGTTTTTATAAATAGTTATTTATTGTGATAAGCTGGCATCGGGCCGAACCCAGGCCCTATGCTGGTCAGACCCACAACACAGGGCTTCAAAAAATTTGGGACCTCTACCAAATATAAGACTTTGTAGTGGATGTGAGCCTTAATTAAATTATGGACCTACAATGCATGGGCCAGGAAAAAAGGATTGACAATGTGGTTGTTAGTGTTAGACTTCTTTCCATTAAGCCTATGATAACATAACTCGGGCCTTGGACAATAATTAGTTTTAATTACATGTGGGTCTCAGCTTTGCTCTTCTCGCTAGGAGTTTTTACTGGAAATTATTTTATTTCATCAATTATTTTTTTTTTGTCAAAGATAGCGGTAACAGTCAGTCATAAATAGAAGAAAGTAAAGCGCGGGAGTCGACTAATTATGTTGGCGTTGGCTTACAAATGGGTATTTAAAAAAATTTATTATTAAAATAATTAGTATCAATAGTTACTTATGATATTATTTTATGAACTAATGTATTTTTTGTTATTTAATAATTATTACTTTTAATAAATTTACGAAGAAGGGCCACATTTTAAATTTTCGAACAGAGCCTCCATATATTATGGGCCGGCCCTGACTGGCATAGTTCTCCTGTTTTTCCCTTTTAGGTAGCTTTGATGTTTGAAGTTTTATGTGTTTCATAGTATCTATACACACACAACACATTGGTTTATTGATGTTTCATCTCTATTTGGTTGTAATACATTCTCAAAAAAAATTTAACCTGGACTGCTCACCATTTGTTTCATTACTGATATCTTCCCACTATAATACATCAGCTAATTCTCCCCGATTTTTGTTTCAGTCATCTACGAAGAGAAAAGGCTAATAGGCTAATGGATCCGAGTCAATCTGTGAATTGTGGACAAGGGTGGGTTCAATTTTAAATTGAAAATTCTTCCTTGGAGATTGAACAATGTTAATATAACACATGTTAATTACAAAATTGGTGACCTCTAAACTTTTTTTGTGTTAATTTAATTCTCAAGTTATTTTTCTGCTGAAACTGTAACTCTCATAGTGTATTACTTAATGAAAAGTTGTCCAGGATTTTGTTTTATTCACTCACTACTTTTCATTTAGCTGAACATAATCAAAACCCAGAGTTCATAAACCCAAATGGGAATTGAGAGAGAAGAACCGGTGGATAAAAGAACTTACCTTCACGGCGAAAAATCGAGTTACCAACTATTAAATGGAGCTTGATTATTGGTGGAATAGATTATTTTGATTTTTAGGTGTTCAACACAAAATTAGTAACATTGGAGCTAATTTATGGATGAATGGAAGAAAAAAGTAATCGATACAAAATCTCAACTATAGATTTGAAAGGAAAATGGGTGATGTTTTAAATTTATAGATCAAATGCTACTTTTGGTGCAATGTGTTAGAGTTATGTACTTGGAGTTGGAATTGCAGTGTTAGACAATGAGTGGAACTCAGTACATGCTTGAACTTTAAACAAAAACAAAACCATCTCCAAAAACGGAAGAGCTATCAGACTAAGTAGCCAAGCTATAACCGGGAACCTTGTCTAGCTTCCTGTCCTTCATCACCACCCTAAGCTTCTCAACTTCCCGCCACATCCCTCGATTGGCATAGATATTCGACAACACCACATAAGCCCCATCGTTCCAAGGCTCCAACCTCTGCAAATTCTCACACACCCACTCTCCCATCTCCACATCACCATACTTCTCACAGGCACCCATCAAGCACCCAAATATCACCACATTGGCCTCCATCTCCATCCCTTCTATCACCTCCCTAGCTTCCTTCAGCAAACCCACACGCCCCAGTAGATCAACCATACACCCGTAGTGCTGCAACTGAGGATCCAACCCGAATTCGTTCCTCATCATCTCGAAACACGCCTTGCCTTCCTCCACCCTCCCACCGTGGACGCAGGCGCTCAGGACGCCGACGAACGTCACATGGTTGGGCCGGACTGCGGTCGATCGTCTCATGGAGTGGAAGCACTCGAGGGCTGAGTTCACCTGGCCGTGGGAAGCGTAGCCGACGATCATCGATGTCCAGGACGAAACGTTTCTCGATTCGTCGGCCATTCTTGAGAAGACCTTGTGGGCTAGGTCCATCCTGCCGCATTTGCCGTACATGTCGATGAGGGAATTCAGCATTAAGGTGTCGGGCTTCGTCGAATTGGTGGCTTGGAAGACGCATTTGTGGAGCTGCAATGCCAATTGCAAGTTGCCGAGGCTTCCGCAAGCAGAAGTCAAGCTCACCATGGTAACATCATCAGGCCGCAAACCGCGTTTCATCATCTTGAGAAACATCTCGACCGCTTCCTTGGCCCTCCCTGATTGGCAGAGTCCTCCAATCACGGCGTTCCAAGATCCCAGCTTTCTGTCAGGATTTTCGTCGAACACCTTGAGGGCAAGGCCAGGCTCCCCACACTTCGAGTACAAGCTTATAAATCCACTCTCGCAATACTCGTTCGACTCCAGCCCTATCTTCACGGCCACACAATGCACCTGCCCGCCTACCCAGATGAAGAGAACTTGTCCCGCGGATTTCAACACGATGGGGATAGTATAACAATCGGGTAAAACCCCAGCGCGGGACATCGATTCGTAGACTCGTAGTGCTTGATTGGGACGATCCAATCTGGAGTACGCCCTTATCACATTATTCCAATGAAACGGAGCTGAATTCAAGGCAAGGAAGTTGGTTCGCACAATGTGGGCGTAGATTTGGTTGAGCTCCTGCAAATCGAAGCAGCTCGACAGATGGGTTGCTATGGAAATGGCTGAATCCTCTGCTGGTTCGCAGTGGAACCAACGAGATAAAAACTGGGTGATAGGATTGCGACCCAGCCGAGAAATCGAGCTCATGTTTTAAATTACAGATAAAGATCAGAACTTTACGATTGCCCAGAAGGTGAAAACAGAGTACCAAAGCTGAGAATATTTCAGGCAGGGTATGAGAACAAAACTATAAAGGCCGATAGGAGTTCAAGTTTATACAAAGCCCACAATGTTTCACTCAGATTAGGTCAAGATACAACAGAAAAAGTTTATGCGTTTAATTGAATTTCAATCAACCAACAGTCTTGAAGGATTCATGGAGATGCCTCAAAGTATCCTGATCACGGTTCCACTCTGCCGCCGGCGCGCTTACAAAATGAGCATAGAGCTTATTCCTAGCACAAGTCACCTTAATCAAGCTGTGCTTCCCAACTCCATCGATCTCGTACTCGTAATAGACCTGGCCGTTCTCGTCCTTCTTCTCCTCGCTCCTCACGCCCTCCGCCGTGGCGATCAAATCCTGGAGATCAACGTCGGAGAGGGCCAAATTGTCGAGCACGGCGTCGCGGGGAGCCAGCTGGCGGAATCCGGAGAGGAAAGTCAGGTACTCCTTTTCGGTCTTCTTCTTCGGGTTGAAGAACTCGCTGTCGGTGCCGTTGGTGCCCTTCTCGACTTTGGAGACCAGGCGCTCCTTCCACCCCTCAGGGACGTCGTAGACGTATTCGGCGGAGGCTTTCTTGTCGGAGTTTCCGCCGTAGCCACCGTAATTGGCTGCGCTGGCCGCCGTCCCGTAGTAGAGGGAGTAATTGCTCGGTTCGGCTAGGGATGGGAGGCCGGCCGACAGAATTGTGGTGGCGGCGAAAGTGGCCGTGAGGGTGGTGAGGATTTGGGGTTTGGGGAGATGCGGCGGTGGTTTTGGAGCTGGGCCGGCGGCGACGGCGGAGGAGCGGTAGAGTGATCGGGAGAGAACTGGAGTAGCGGTGGTGGCGATGGACGTGGCCATTTGGGGTTGGGTAGCAATGGCGACCGGATGTGGCGTTTTCTTCCTCGTTGGTTTTTGCTCATCCACCACAACCACCCGATTTCCCTTGTCTTATCCATAACCTAAATGTCAAAATCGGCATTGGAATGGGTTATGTTCATTAAATCCAATAATGGTGAAACTAAATCGGTATATGGTATTATGAGGAAAAAATCTCAAATTACACTGGTTTTTAAAAAAATTCTCAAAATACATAAGTTATAAAAAAAATTTCAAAATTACATATGTTTGGCATTCATCGTTTTTGACAAACGCAGTGAATAAATCACCGTTTTTGTCAAACACGGTGAACATATCACTGTTTAAAAATAAAACGGTGACGTGTTCACCGTCTTTGTATAAAGCGGTGAAGTGTTCACCGCGTTAAACAAAAATGGTGAAGACATCACCGTTTAAGTTAAAAGCGGTGAAAACATCACCGTCTTAGGGCAAAGCGGGGAACATATTCACCGCCTCAGGCTAAGGCGGTGATTATTTCCCACGTTTCCCAAACCTGGTAGGTGAAAATTAGGTCACAACTACCTAATGTTCACCGTTTGAGACAAACGCGGTGATGTTGTTCACCGCTTGAAACAAAGGCGGTGAATACTGGCCGATTTTCCTTTAAATACCACTCCCACCTGCAGTTCTAAAAACGTAATCCCTCCCCCCCCCCCCCCCCCTCTTCAAATTTCAGCAGCAAAAACCGAGCAACCTACACAGAAAAGGAATTTTCGGTATGATTTAATATTCGTATTAATTCCTAATGGTTGTTTTTAGTAGTTATATTTTTATGTTATGAATTACTTATCATAGCAAATATGGCCGATGTTATGAATTATTGGAATTATGCTAATAGTTACTTATTGTAAATTGTAGATATGGGTAAATTCAAGAAGTTTCGGCTTATTATTCGGTGGAATGGAAGGGTTACAAACTCTGACATAGGGATTGATTATGAGGACGGTGTATCCACTAAGCTGAAAAATTGAGTCGCGATTCAATTTTCAAGAACTCTGTATATTTGTGCAGACAGGGTTTGTACGAGCAGACAGACGAGACTTGGTAAAATTAGTTACCAGTATCCATGTATGAGTACTGGCGGCGGCGGGCTTGTGTACCAAGAAGTTGTCATAAACGATGATGACGCGGTTACGATGATGTTACAGTTCCTAAGCGATAACGGGATGCGGCAAGCAGAGGTGTATGTTGAGACCGAGACGGTCGGTGAAAGTCATTCTCACCAGTATTCTTATGATGATGGTTTTGCAGGAGGGTACGGATGGGGTGGTAGTTCGAGCAACTACGAAGGAGGTGGTTATACAGGAGGTTACGGAGAGGGTGGTAGAATCAACTACGGTGGAGGTAGTAGTGTAGGATGGGTGCCATCGGAAGAATACTCGCAATAGGATCAACCTGCCGATGGCGTTCAATGGCCTGCTTGGGGGCCTGAGTGGGCTTAAATCGAGAATACCATTCGGGCAGGGCGTACTTCACATGAGCGAGAAGACGATGTTGGTGATGGTGGTCATGTTGATCCTTCTGGGCCGAGCTATCCATTCGACTCGAGCGACGATGATTACTGAGGAAGATTTGAGATCAGTGAGCGAGGAGGAAGATACTGATGATAACGACGACGAGGCAGTATTTCGTGAGGCACCGACGCCATACTACACACAGGTTCCAACTCAATTTTTACATAGTCAGAATGATGCCCCCGACTTTGTCCCTACGCTAGTGTATAATCCGACAGCCAATTTGGAGGTGGGTATGGCGTTCTCATCGAAGGACGTTGTGCAGGATGCCTTTACCGAAGAGGCCTGGAGGCGCAATTTCGAGAGGAAGGTAAAATATTCTGACAGGGCTAAATTACCCGTTTGGTCACTCAAATTATACAAAATTTTCACGTTTGCCACCTGAATTATTTTTCTTTATTATTTGCCACTAACTTTACAAATTGTTTCACCGTTAGTCACCGGCCGTTACACTCCGTTAACTTTATCTTACGTGGCAGTCAACTATAAAGTTTGACCATTAACTAGATTACGTGAAAATTAAAAAATTTAAAAAAAAATTATTTTTCCACCTCATCATTTCAAATTTATCATATTTATTATTTAATAAAAAATAATAAATGACAAAAAATAATATGATAATTAATTATTTTTTTACCATATTCTTGACGGACTACGAGAGGCGCCTTTCTAATTGATTAATTAATTTATTATCATAATATGAAAATTAATAAATGACACCCGATTTGGATTTGGATTCCATTTCGATGTGGGTCTAACAGTTAGGGTTACACTGCCGGCGGCGCCTTTCTTAGCGGCGCCGGAGGCTGTTGTTGCGGAACAAATGAGGGAATCAACGCGATGGTAGAACGACCACTTAGACGGAGGTGGTTTGGCCTTCTCGACCTTGTACTTCTTCTTAAGCGTGTCTATTCGGTTTTTGCACTAGATGTCGGTCTTCTTCGGCCCGCTGCTGCGCCGCGAGTTGACTTCGTCGGTGACTTCTTTCCAGTCCTTCTGGCGGAGGTTTCCTTTGTCATACATTAAGCACGACAAGGAGAAAGCTCAGGAGCACATGGTGGAGTTGCCGTCGTGGCAGGCAGCGGGGGAGAGGAGGTTGAGGAGGAAGAGAGTAGCGGAGTGGGATGGTGGTGGTGAGGGTCATGATAAATAAATAAAAATGATTTATTTATCATATTATTTTTTTGTTATTTATTAATTTTTCTTAAATACTTAATATGATAAATTTGAAATGACGAGGAGGAAAAACAAAATTAGTTTTTTTAATTTTAAAAATTTTCACGTCATCTAGTTAACGGTCAAACTTTATAGTTGACTGCCACGTAGGACAAAGTTAACAGAGTGTAACGGTGAGTGACTAACGGTGAAAAGATTCGTAAAGTTAGTGGTGAATAAGAAAGAAAAGTAATTCGGGTGGCAAACGTGAAAGTTTTGTATAATTTGAGTGACCAAACATGGAATTTAGCCATTCTGACGGTAAACAATTACATGTCATATGCAAGAATGATGCAGAGGGCTATACGTGGCAACTGCGGGCTGCAAATATGAAGAGAAAGGGTGCCTGGGTGATTCAAAAAGCTGAGACCAACCACACTTGCTCCTTGTCCATACGTTCCCAGGATCACAAGCAACTTAAAGCAAAGAAAATTGGGAGAACTATTAAACACCTTATCGAAGCACAACCAGATATCAAGGTCAAAGCTATCATGGCCGAGGTGAAGGATCGACATTCTTACACGATAAGGTACAAAAAAGCATGGCATGGAAAGCAGAAAGCCATGGCTGAGGTGTATGATGAATGGGAGGATTCGTATGCTTTACTCCCTAGACTTATGGCCGCAATGGAGGAGTCCAACCCTAGGACTGTTTTCGTGCCAGTATACAACAATGTATACACTGAGGATCAAGTTCGAGTACAGGAGAAGTTGATGTTTCACCGTCTTTTATGGGCTTTCTAACCATGCATTGACGGATTTGCGTTCTGCATACCTATTATTCAGGTATTTTAATACATGTTTACTATTTGAAATGTTTCTATTCTTGCAGACCAAGTAAATTTCATACTAATTACTTCCTTACTAGGAAGTACAGAGGAACTCTTTTCATTGCTACTGGCGTTGATGGAAACAGGGGGATTTTCCCGCTTGCATTTGCAATAGTGGAAGGGGAGAACAGCTTAAGTTGCGCATGGTTCTTTGACCATGGGTGGTTTTCCTGACGAGTGGGGATGGACATGCCGTGGGTGGTTTTCCTGACGAGTGGGGATGGACATGGCGCTGGTGTATTCGACACTGGCTCGCCAATTTCCAACACAAATTTGGAAAGAAGAAAGACATGAAAAATCAATTGTGGCATGCAGGTACTAATGTCCTTTAATGAGAGTTAACTATGTGTTTAATAATTTGTTGTTTATCATGTATTGACCATTTCTATATTGTTCACCTTGCAGCGGTTGCACATCAGCCAAAAAAGTACGAGCAGAAGATGAAGACGATCCGTCAGACTCACCGAGCTGGAGCAGTATGGGCTGAAGGTCAAGAATTGGCCATGTGGACGTTCCATATGGACAACGGGGCCAGATGGGGCATTGCAACTGCCAACCATGGAGAAAGTATAAATAATGTGTACAAGGGCCTTCGAGTGATGCCTATTTCTGTCATAGTAGAGATCTCATACTGGAAGGTCAACGAGTGGCGGGTGGCTCTGCTGCAGCTAGCGATAGGGAGGGAGATATCTTGTCATCCGATAGCACATGACGTTTTTGAGCAAATGCAGAAGAACGAAGAAAAATCAAGTGAGCATAAAGTTGTTCTTTTCTATCGCAGTGAAGGGATATTTGCAGTGGAAACAGGTGTATGGGGTGGAGGTAGACGTGGCCACAATCGTCAAACGATTACTCTGCACTAGGAATCAGGGGAGTGTACATGTCAAAAATATCAAAACGAGAGGATACCCTGTTCACATGCAATAGCAGTAGCTAAGTCATTAACCATGAACAGAAACACTCTAGTGAGTCCTTACTACACTGAACAAGCGATACAGAACTCATATGATGCAGCTTTGAGTCCCATGCCAGATGAAGCGTATTGGCCTATATACGCTGGAAAGTTGATTATCTCACCGTTGCACCTAAAACGCACCAAAGGTCGTCTTAGAGTTGAAAGGATACACAATGAGATGGATCAAGTTGAACGCACGAGGCGGGGATCGAAGCGATGCTCCAAGTGCAGACAACCTGGTCATGACAAGAGGCGTTTCCCAGGACAACCACAACAGCATGGTGCGGATATAACCGAGGACCAATGATGTACAAGTCATCTATCTTAATTTTAATTGTCGATGATCGTCAAAATTATATAGACGTCATGGGTAATATTTGTTCACTTTAAAATGTTCTCCTTGTCGGTACGATCGCGTAGCCGCAAACGGATCGTTATTCTAATCTCA